CTTCCAAGTAGGGCTGCTAAATTAGAATAATTAATCCTGATGAGTTTCCAATTGGATTAGAATGTCTGGGACGGGAACTTGACTAATATTTGTGGTGGGTGAGTTACGGGTATTATGGCTCCATACTACTAATATGTATAGTAGAGCTTAAAACTAGATATAACTTTATATCCTGTGAATACAGGGTATCGTCTAACCAAATACAGTGTTTCTTTTCTTGCGCCCGGACTCCGACGTGAACATCATTACATAAGCATGATAAATTACTAAATCCTAGTAGTAATCTGGAGTTCTGTGGATCTGGATTTCTCATTCACATTGGTAAGAGGTGAGCCCGGCTGGCCGCTGAGGGCAGAGATGGATTGAGAAATAACGCTTCAAAGTTTACGCTCAATTGAAGACTTGTCGGAGTGTTAATGTTGAACAAGGGCCGACGGCTAGTTGGAAGAGGGAAGCTACATTCTGAGACATTTTTTCCTGTTCTTTGGTAAAAGATACTTTCATGTCCTATAGTAATCTTAACCTCTTTGGGCCCTAAACTTTCAAATCAAACACTACTGAATATATGACGCCAAAGCCAACACGTGTTCACTCTCAAAGACACCGTGGTATGGCAACCAAGCCGAGCTTGTTCAACTCTGTTCCGCCCTTTGCCCTACTATGAATGCACCAGAGATTTAAACAGTATTCTGTATGACCAGATCCTAATTCACTCTAACAGCAAATAATTTTGCTGCACGTCTTCGCTGTTTTGAATCCTTATGGACCTAATCACAGCCGCGCGCCTCCTTAATATATACGTAGTTGGTGCAGGGAGGTTGGGTTATTTTGAAACTTTTGAAGTCTACCCTTCGGCGGGTAGATAGGACGAGGGAGGGATGAAGGTGCAAGTCGACGGGTCTGCCCACTATTACTGGCAACTGAAACGCATCACATCGAGGGGCGTTTATTTTTAGATCAGCTTGTTTCAAACGGCTGAGGAACAGGATTGCCACCGTTCATGTATTGCGAGAGAATTCATGGGACGATGACAGGGGCATAAGGCCTCAACGTTGATCAGCGATGTCCTCAATCATTCTCCGTCTGATGACCGAGGTTATAGTGACGAGATAGAGTGACATACAAGCTAGAAGTCCGTTCTTTGTCGACTAGTTCGTGGCACGACGAAGTGAGTCCAGCCTGTTCCAAGACACACTTTTTCAAAACATTTCAGACATTCAACACGACTTCCGGCTCTTTCAGAGACACAGATGAGGGTGAGGATTGACAGGACGCTAGCGAGTCAGAAAGTAACCTGCTAGAGCACACCAAAAATTTGTGTTTTTCAGTTGCTACTGGTATTTGAGGGCCAATGGATTAACCGGCTGTATGTTCAAATGTTAACTTTTAAGGGATGCCTGTTGGGCCAGAGTTGTGAGGAATTAGGGAGAAGAATCTACTGCTGGAGGTTTAGACAATGTCGGCATGTTGGTAAACAGGAGCAATGTGTTTTTAACAGCTTTATTCGGGGAAAACATAATAATAGATTAAGAAAGGTACGGTACTATCACTTTTTGGTAATTGTACGTGCCAGGTAGGTAGCTATCTGTATTCCATGCGAGCACAACACGAGTGGGGCCGGGTTGGCTGAGTTGAGCTACTATTCAATACATCATCCTCGTCTTACCCCAGCCTTAACCGTGTGCCTCGTCCCAATCATCACCGATCACCGATCATCGACACTCAAACTTCCATCCTCCTTGTCGCGGCTAAACATCTCTTTCTCCCCAGGTCCCGGCCCTTTCCCGACCAAGCATATTCAAATCGCACAATTGGGTCATGGTCGTCATTGGATATCCAACCTACGCTGCAAGACCTTTATATTGTCACATTCTACTTCCGTCTTAAAATTCTTCACAAAGGTGTGCCCGTGAAATGTTGAAATAATTGCAGAGATGGCTAGCAGTTTATGCCTTTACTAACAAAGTTTTATCGCAGACAATGGAAAAGCGCGGGGTGTGCCTGTTGCTAATGTACGATTAAAACATGGACAGGCTCGTCTTTAAGTTACATGATGGTGGCGATATACATGCTGACTGGTTTTTCGAAAAAATATCGGATAAGATTAGTACAAGCTGGCATTCCATCAATAAAACTGGTTCAACCCTTATTCATAAATAAATCGCGGCGCTAAGGAAATTATTTTTACCCTGGGCTCGCAAAGGTTGCCGCTGGCAGGCGTTTGGTCTTTGCCCTCTATCTACCCCGTACATGTGCACTAGTTAAAACGAACTAAGCTGATATCCTAGCTATCACTTGTTGGGGTCTAGCATCTGCCATTACCGGGCTAATTTACTGAATTGGTTGCGACACCCTTCTTCCATCATGGCTAGCACTTGTCTCAAGCCTCAACCCTGACGCTCGTCAATGTGCCGACCACCAGCTTCTACCCCATATTTCCGAATTTCCGTCGGCAGTCCACCTTACCCAACATCCGTCATAGGTTTGATTCCAAAGGCTTAACAAGCGAGGGGAATTGAATTTGTATAAACACAGAGGTGGTATTTTGAATCTACTCTTCAAAACATATACTTTCATTCTACGTTTTACAACGATAAATTGTTTTTCTGAATAATCATGAAAAGCCATTCGAAAAAATTCTCATAGTTCTCAGCTAGTGCAAAATCAAAGAAAGTGTTACTACTCTGAATTTTATCTAATCGAAATAATTATTCACATGCGACTTCTTGGTCCAAACCAGCGTTCTTGAGTGCCACAACAATTATCGGATATTTAACCTCACCTAACTGCCCTGCAGTTATTGCTTGATTAGATTATCATGCAAGGAGAAACCGAAGAACGCATTAACTGTCAAATTGAAAAAAAGACCCTATCGGAATGAAAACATGGGCTTTCGGACTGGATTACCCTTGACGCTCCCAGTTTACATACAATTATTTATCAAATCTCTAATCATAAACTCCCTAAAAAACTCGGTTTGTCAGAATTCTCATGCTTATAGTTAATCCAGGTCGATCGGGGCATTGAACTACTAATTTTCCCCTGCCATATATACAAAGTATCACTGATAAAGCACTCATAGCATACCCATCGATCATATTAACCTCGGCTAATTAGAATTCAAGGTAATTAAGTCCAAATCATCTAGAAGATATGTAGGAACTTTTACCAGCCAAGATGACTTCGATAGTACTATCGTCTTCTACCCACCAACTACGCTAGAGTACAAATATGACAAACCGTCTAGCCTTGAAGAGCACATTTCGTCGTTGACTCCTTTGTGACACGCAAGATTCTTGCTATCCAGAAAAATAGCCTACACTCTATCATGCAGATGATCTTATCTTACGGTGAAAATATACAGCCAATCAATTGCAAGCCTAAAGTTCTGGACAGTACTCAGAAATCATCTTACCCTCGACATATCACCTGAAGCAACTTAGTAAGGAGTCAAAAGGAAAGAATCTAACGAATTATCTCCACCTTAGTTTGTGCATCAAGTTTTTCCTTCACCTTGGTCCTTACATTCAAAGCACTCCAAATATTATTCATCTCCGTTTTCTCCTCCGAAACACTATGCAACGCTAAAACATACTCATCAAAGATCTCTGTGTCATAGAGAAGTCGTGCACCTTTTAGTTCTAGCAAGAACCAATCCATCTTGATTTTTCGGCCTGCTTGCTCCGTAAAAATTTATCATTAAAATTTTAATAAATGTAAAGATTTAGCTATTGAATCCCAAAAGCGCAAAATATTTCTAACCCCTTATCATCTGGTTTATTAAGAACCATTTATTCTTCATCTCTCCAGACTACTTCTTCGTAAGGCTACATCATGCATCCGGTACTACATCCCTCTCATAAAATCATTCCTACATGATCTGAGTGTGGAGCTCCTAAAATAAGTAATTTAATACATTTAGCTAGAAGAAAAAGTAGTCAGGCATGTCGCTAACAAATCAGGTCGTCCGCTGGGCTAGTTAAGCGTAGTATGTGATACAAACTGGCCCGGCTCACGCCAGATGAAATTTTTTTGTCACAAGCCAATACCTTGTGGATCGAGAAAATACAGGTGAACCCTCAATACTTCCTAATCATGACAATAAAACTTCTTCGGATATTCAACCTATCCTCCTTTTGAATCAAGCTTGCAAGCTACTATCCATAAGTCTGAGCTTCTGGTTTACCCGAGAGTTTCACGTGATCACACTGCCACAACAAAGCGGCACTCAAAACTAGCGCCAAATTAGCTCTAGTTTCGATCTTGAGTATGTTAGCTGACTTGTAGCTGTTCAACTTGCCACTATCTCCCCCGATACTTCTTAGGAAGAAGCCAGGATTGTTATTGAGCTCCTATCCCCCCACCCCCCAAAACATTGATTATCCGATTTCTTTTTCCCCTCTTTCTCTCATACTCTTTCGCAAATATATTATATTACAGCCTCCTCGTGGCGTATTCCCAGCCGGTTCTGTTCAAACTCGCGCTCCGTACTCCGCTTGTTCTCAGACTTACTGCGAGCTACTGCGTTGAGACTCCACCCCAACCTGGAATTTCCCGATCACACTGGATACGCACATCTCATACCTTCGAACTCGACACAGGACCTTATTTAATCAGTCAAGCATCGCAGGCCGAAATCCAGAAAACCCTCCTCATCCAAGATATCATCCATTTTCACCCGCAACAGCGCATTCTGTTAATATCGCCCCCTTCGCGCATCCAATTATCGAGTTTTTGCATTAAGGCGTGGCTGTACTGAAAATACGGCCACCAATCATCAAAATACGTCGACTTGCGCTGCTTTTGCTGCTGCTTCAATCTCTCACCAATAATACCCGCAATAAATACCTCTTTGCTCATACACTTATCAGTGGCCACAAAAATTCGTTCTAGCATTTTTCTATATTAAAAAGACGCTGTAGCCCTAAATTACCTCCTAAATCTTCCCCTCTTTTCAGAATAAAGGTTAATAAGTAAACCGTCAATTATATACTGCGAAAATGAATGATATAAATATAGGTGTCCTCAACGCGATGAGTGGTGGTCCTATTAATAGTGGAATGCCCATGATGAATAATTGTGCACCTGGAGGCCGTCCATTAATGCCAATAAATAATGATCAACGATCACAGCTAAACACCTACATATACGAATATTTTTTGCGAAACGGCATGTATGAGTGCGCTAAAGCACTGCTTGAAAGTGGTCAACCCTTAAATGTCATAAAAGACGGTTCTAGTAGGCGTCGCGACGACAACGGCGCTGGTGAGGAAGCAGGCGAAGATTCAAAAGATGACTTTGACCCCAAAAGACCCATTGATCTCCCAGATCCAAATGTACCAAAAGAGTGCTCCGAAAGTTGCTTTTTATACGAATGGTGGTGTCTTTTTTGGGACATGTTTAACGCTCAGCGTGGTAAAGCTGAGGGCCGCAATGTTTTGCAATACTTTACTCATACACAGGTTAGTAAAAATTGCGCCACAGGCTCTCCATCACTAATAAACCAGGCACAATCTCGATCAAAACAAGAGCAACAGCAAATGATGCTGCGTGGCTTAAGAAATGACATGAGCTACTCTCAAGGGTTCAACCCCTTAAGAAACCCTCAAAATTTAGGAATGGCCGTCAATCCTCAACATGAACTACGACAGATTGCTCTCCAGAATAATAGAAATGCGTAAGTTCCTCCTTGATAGCAGAACACTCATTATTAACAAGCTCTAAAGGACACCGGCTCATATTCAAATGATGCAACAACAGCATCAAAAGCAGCAGCAGCAACAACAACAACAGCTTCAGCGTGATCCCTCAGTTAATGAGAATCAACCACGTCCACAGTCACCAACGGCTGATAATGCACCTTCGCCCTCAAAAAGACCTCGTCTTGATGGAGCTAATTTCAATTCTCAGTCCCAGATGCCTAACGGCCGGGCCCAAGGTGGTGCAAAACCCCAACAGGTATGTATCACCATAGCTTGTCTATTTCCCATCACTTAGCCAATTTACTGAAACAAAACAGTTTCAAAACATGCAAGGTGCTCCAGCTGTTGCTGCCCAGAGACTTGCAGGATATCAGGCGAGCCTAGGACAACAGCAGCAGTCGCAAATGCCAAATGTTAAGGCCATTCCCAATTCAACAGGATCGCAAGGACGTGCATCGCCTATGATGGCTCAAGGCCAACAAGATGGTAATAGCATTGCCAACTACTATAACACCGGAGAAGTTGGCCCGAACGGAATACGTGGTGTTCCAGGCGGTCAGCCCGTAAATGGTGGTAACCATGCACTCCAAGATTATCAGATGCAACTTATGCTCTTAGAGCAACAAAACAAAAAAAGACTTATGATGGCACGGCAAGAGCAGGACAACATGATGCCTCGGCCAGAGGGAGGGCAGGGACTTCCAGGAGCTGGACCGAATGGTCAGTCTTTTCAGGGAACATCACCTCAAGGTAATAGATCAGCCAACTCTCCAAATCCAGGCGAACAACTAAAACGCACGCCGCACATGAACTCGGCAGGAATGCCGTCTCCCCTACCGGAAGGGCAAACTCGCGGTTCACCCAGTAGTAGCCTTAACTTTAATCTTCCAGGAGCCCAAATGGATCCTGGAATGAGTTCGCAATACTTTGCAAAAGGCAATAGTATGGATCCAAACCTTGTTGGCAGCGTTCCCAACGCTATGCGGCCCCCTAGCTCACACCCTAATAATTTTAATCAAATGACACCGCAAGCACAAATGGCTCTAGCCGCCCGGCAGCAGCAGGTACAACAACAGCAGCAAGCACAGCAACAACATGCACAACAACAACATGCACAACAACAGCATGCCCATCAACAGCATGCTCAACAGCAACAGGCGCATCAGCAACAGGCACAACAGCAACAGGCCCAGCAACAAGCCCAACATCAAGCTCAGCAACAAGCTCAACAGCAACAGCAAAACTGGCAACCAGGACCGAATGGACAACCGATGATGGCGCAGCCCCCTCAGGGCCAGGCAGGCTCTCAACAAACAATTGGCACACCACAGCAACGTAACATGCCTCCTCCCTCGATGACTGCAGCTGGTGTCACGACAAACACGAATGGGCGGACCCCCCAGGCAACTGTATCCCCTGGGCAGACGCCAGCCCCTCCAACCCCACAGCAAGCAAATAAAGCGAACCCGAAGAAAAAGGCGGAGACGAAGGATAACAAATTGAAGGTATGCTACTCTGCGTTGAATGTATTTTTTAAGAAACGTTGACATTAAGACAGCGGGCACAAAAGAAGGGATCTGCCGCAAATCTCAACGCTGGCGCTACGCCATCTGCTGACGCCGAAGCTACGGGCGCGACTCCAACTCCAGCGACTCCGATGACACCTGTACACAAGCAAAGCTTTAATGGCAACCAAAATGGTACCGTTCAACCGGCATCAAACGGACAGGCCACTAATCAATCTAATAATATTGGTATGGCACAACAACCTGATCCACTTCAAGGTGGCGGATTCGGATTAGCGGACTCTGCGGTAAGTAACATGAATTGAGCCTTTCTCCTTACTAAACCATATTAGTTTCCAAATTTCGACACTTCTCTTGACTTTGCCAATCCTGGTAATGGTAACATGGATGTGCTTCAAGATTTCGACTTTGACTCTTTCCTGCATCAAGACGCTGGTGACGCTGTAAACGACTTCAATTTTGATACGTCTGGCTTTCTAGATGGGAATGAGATTGGCGCCGATTAATTGTTGGCAATATTCTTTCACATCACCTAACGGCGTTCTTGGGCATTATTTCGGCGTTCAATTGTATCTCAATATTGCTCCTCACCGGCTTAACCTAATCTTAAAAATGGCTCTAGTAACATGGATGGGTTTGTCTTTTTTGAATACCACAGATAAGTCATTTTAACAGAGCAGGTTATATTTTCCCCAGTTGGATATGGGCTCGGGGCTGACTGTCTAGCTGTGTTTTCGCGAGTCCAGTAAACACAGATGACGATATTTTACACTGCTTGAGCTGATGCCTTGTATTGGTGAAGGGGGGTCGAATTACCTTTGCAATCTAAAGAGGATAAGGCCTTGTCTGTTTCGTACTTTTTTTAATAAGTGACATAATTATTGTGTAGGTCGGGACAGGGATAGGAAGGAACTCTGTAATTATCTCTATGGCGTTATGGTTACTTTCATTCTAGCGAAAAACTTTGTTGCACACTTTGAATGAGAATTTTCTCAAGTAGCAGTTAGAAATCTGATAATTGTTTTATTTTGGATATTCTCGTAGCTTTTGACGATTAACGGCACCGACTGGTTACTTATGCCAATGAATCTACGAGTATTTTCGCCTGATTATCCAAGCACAAGCAACCTTCTTAAGTTATCAGCACTGAGCTAGATTTTTCTTATCCTAACAGCATTCTTTTCCTGGAGATACCTGCTGCCTTCTACAGTACGGAGTGCACCTGCTCAATATTTTCAGTGTCTAAGCGTAGGCTCCTCTCGTAGATATGATGAAACCTGCTTCTTTCAATCTCGGTCACGTTGCGGCTCTTACAGCTTTTGGAAAGCTATACCTAGACGTTGAGGCCTCTGAGCTAGCCGCGTGCATTCTCTGAGTTTTTGGCCATCATGAAAGAATTTCCCGTCATTGTCACTCTACCATTAACGAAGTCAACTCGATTCAAGCTTAATCAAAAATTTTGATTAAAGATTGGGAGATTTCCTCAACATGCCTGCGTCAACGTTAAAACCTCCACAGAAGAAGACGAGGGCTATGACCTGTCAGTGGTATGCTTTGATCCTCGGAGTGGAATATTCTCCCAGCGCTGGGTTCAGTCGAAATTTTCAATACCCTAGAAGCTGGCCCATCATGCAATAATATAAGATACTCTTGCAAATTAATCTTTCATTACAAAAAGAGACATATTACGACCAGAGCTTTGTCAGTTCTATAAGCACAACCTAGCCCATCCTCATTTCGATTTAGCTTCTGGCATCAGCTACTCTCCAACTACAGGCACATGAGAATTTGAGTAACCACAGGAGAAAACAAATCTTCGCGCACTAGCCTAGCAAGTCTAATCTTCAGAATGGACGTGTAAGAGATCAGCATATATGAGCTAAATGATACCAAAGGTGGATACAGTTTCAGAAGAGGTAAAAACTTCTATTTTTGGAAAGTAGATTTTAACATTGAAGAGCATTTTGAGTCACTAATTCTTTCACGAGAGCGCAGTTGGTTCTGTAAATAGTTCCATGGCTGGGCTGGGCAGTGCACTGGTCTATCATCAAGACTGATTTATCGACTATATTCTGGACTTAAATTTAATTTTATTCTATTCATTTCTATCGACTATATTCTGGATAGCTTGGACACCTATGCCATTTGAAACAAGAGATCGCTAGTTTGAATCCAGCAAGACTCAGGCACATTTCTTCCTGTGCTTATGTCCAGGGTTAAAAAGGCATACTTTAGTAGGGAAAGGAATTGAAACTTCACTACGATGAGTCTCCACGGACGAGGTTCCAGTGGTTTGTGCAAACAAGTACAACTCAGCGATATTCCAAAATTAAATGCAGAGTGTGAGTATGCATGGTCAGAATAATCCTGTAATGTGTACATGAACCCGATCATGTGACATCGCTACAAAGCTGAATACGCGCCAGATAAAAACAGAAAAATTTCAAAGTACTGACCTCTTCCTGAAAGGGCAGAGAGAGGTCACTGATAGATATCTTACTGCGAAAGATCTCTCTTTCAGACAACAGGAACCAAGAAGCTATTGTAATACCCTAAAATAGAGCGGGAGTTCGTAATAATACAATTAGTGTGGATCATTATCCATAGCACTTTGTTCAATATCTCCAAGATTTTGTAGTTGACATCGCAAATGTGGTCCGCCGCCACTCTAGTAGCAATTCAAAAGAAGATTCACTCCCAAATTAGCTCCAGTAGCCCTGAAAAAGCCATTGTTGCTAACCCAGTGACAACACCATCATAGCGCCTCGACTCTCGACTTCACTGATTTGTCCGTGCCTGCACCCAAGTAAAGGCAAAAACTGTTCGTTGCTCCTCATCGACGAAATTCCCCTTACAAAGCAGAAGCTTCTTCAAGCAATTCTAAATGTGGAGCGCCTGCCAAAGAATGATAACTTGTCAGAGTTGCCCTAGGACCTACCTCCCTCAACATGTCGTCCAACACGATCACAAAATAACGAGTTGTTGAGAAGTTAGTTTGCAAAGTTCAGGTGAAAAAGACTAGCTCTTCCATTCTACCGACATCCTTAATGTCTTATGAATCTCTCACCACTTACAAGAATGACACAGATAGCTTTATATCATCTGATTGCATCTATAAAGTAGATTGTCGACAAGTTTTATGGCCCATCCTTTTTCAAGCCTCCCACGCTCTCACTAATGACAAGATGTTGCCTCTATTGTCTCAGTCGTAATAGCCAACAAACTGATTGCCGAAGCTCTCAGATATTCTACAAATATCTTATGAATGGGTAATGTAGATCCTCCAAGCCCTCTTGAAGCTCATACTACATTAGTCGCAATACTCCTGGAATAAACAAAATCTCTGTGCTGAAATCTTTCTCGTTGGAGTTCGCATTAACCTAAAGTACTTCCCAAGAGGACAAGAGTACCCCGATGTGATAAAGGTTTCAGATGGTAGAATTTAATCAGCTGTGTCAAAGCCTAACCCTTTGTATTTCTCATCGCTTTCCAATACCTTGGAAATAGACATGAAAACTGCGGCGCTTAAACCATCATAAATGTCCTCTAAATTATGCTTATTACTATGGGCCCTATGGTGCTGACCTTGAATGTCTTTTTAATTTTTTAAAGAACGAATTTCTGCCTACTTGAAAAAGTATTGGAAAAATTAGACAAGCTTCTTCGGCAACTAGACTTCGATTGAAGGCCGCCCACTGTATATCGTTTTTGGAAAACCATCTGCCATATATTAGCCGCAACTTCGGCTCCTAGAACCATGAACGGTACAGGCTACACCTCCGTCCACACTGATTGTCTCTTCTTGAAATCGCCCAACTCTTCTTGCGGGAGATTCACAGTACTCGAATACCTTGAGAACAACAATACAATAGATGCTTAGCAACTACTTCATCAATTATACGCCTTTAATGATGAAAGTTGTATCCACAAACGTTGAACACAATTCTTCCGACCATGAGGCTGCCTTCGAATCCGCATTAAAACTAAATACATACATTTTGCTTATACAAGAGCCTCTCATAAAGAAAAAGTAGGCAAAAATACTCGGGGTCACTCTTCATTAGATTTTTTCGCACCGGTCGACGAGCAGTTGATTGGTCCCAGGATTTGAACTCGTACAAAATGACATCGGGTAAATCACCAACCTAAATTTGAACAGTCCGAACCGTAGACGATAAATGTTCAAATAGAGACTTCCTCTTTCTTACTTTCCAGGCTCCAAGCTGCTCTCCACTTACAGTAATAAAATTTTCAGCATCCCTACTGGAGCTATAAATTCAGGCTAATGCCTAGCTGCATGTCTCTTGCTCTCTATCACACTTCCAAGTCCCTCAAAAACCCTCATAGGTTACCTGAATATTTTTTGCAAATAATAGCTATCATCTCACGCAGTATCTCCTTCAGTTCTGTGAAGGGACTGATCACATTAGCTATTCGCAAAAGTGTGTCGTTGATTGAATTATATTCCGTGTAAAGAAAGGAGAATTATGAGGACTACATGCTCACCTACTCAATACCGCGCATCGCTTATGGATTTATGCATAAGTTATCATTTGCACAACTCCTTAATCCAGTCAAGTCATGTACTCTAAGAATTCTCAATAAATGAACCGGATAAACTCCAGTTATAACTAAATAAGGCATTAGTCTGTAACAAGTTACATCTGATTTCTTCCTTCAATGTCCCAATATAAAATACATGCCGTTCGTTTCGGAGGCTGAAATGACTATCCACAGTCGAGGTAATTTTCTAGACAGAAAATGCCCCTCCCATGATCTTTTAGCTTGAGAATAATTGCTCATATAGATTCTAAGCTAGGCCTGTTCTCCGACTAAACTCAACAAGTACAAATCATTATATGTCTTGACCTAGCCATTCCTCCTATCCCTAGGCCTCATTTCTGATAGTTGATAAAAAAATTTCCCCTTCCTTGGTTTAGACTCACAAAGAACAAAACGGACTCGAGTCTTCCGTCATATAATATGATAAAGAGGATGTAGAGCTAATCAATTCTCTTTCCCGTGCACACAACGAGGTCAAGAAGTGATCCCTTGCACGGAAATAAGGCCAAAACTGGCGGGATAAGAGCTGCCGAGAGACCAATAAAAATACTGAAAGCTGGCTTACTCATAATGTTCTTCTGACACCGCACGAAAGTAATTCTAGAAAGTAGTCGAATAGGTTGGGGACGTCTTTTTTCATAAGTTGCTAGTTAAAGCCAGCAGTGCTAAATATGTCTTCGATATTCTAAAGTGACATTAGTCAAAATGTTAATCTTGTACCACTCCATCTATCAATCCATTATTGTCAAACTCGCCGCCTGCTCATGCATCTGCAAATAAAAGAGGTGATCTGATCAGAAACTTCTTAGAAGAGAATTTGATTATGTATAATACTTCCTCTCTTAACACCTCTGTTGCAAGATCTGAGCTCGCTCTCTCCAACCTTACCTTACTGATACAGAGCCATCTAGCGCCATTCTAAATGCAGGTAATACAATTCCTGAAAAAGATAAAATCCTAACTTCTGTGCTACGCCTCGCCTAGCCCCATACTTGTGAGTCTGTCCTTATCTCTCTCAAGAATGCTTAAACCTAGGAAATCGCCACCATTCCTTTCCGATAGCCGCTGTAGCTATTACTAGAAACTCTATCAAAGTATGTTTGTCTACATCAAGGTCATATCAACGAATCGCTCCCTTCAATGTTGCAAGAAAGGGACTAGAATAGGCACTTTCAAGACATATTTCTTCGATAGCTATTAAATATAAAGTGATAGTATCCCAAAAACTAGGGACTCTATTATTCGATTCATACATGGATCCAAAAATGCATCTTTATCATGACACAGAAGCTTCTATGACCAAATATAAGACTGCCTCAGCCGATACTTTTGATATTACAGAGGCCTTTGATGGTTTACTCACAGAAAGTCTAGATAAGCAGTCAAGGGAGCAAGGCTGGCGAAAATACATCGGCGATAAGTTTGGCTTATTCTCATCAAATCACAAGTTTTGGATTTATATCGATATTTAAAGAGGCTCATCTAGAGAAATTAATTGTGGGCTACTTTGGGCTCCCAAGTCATTCCTATTATTAATATGTTTTTCATATCAGCCTTACTTGAATTCTAATATGGGTGAATATTTTAAACACCTGTCAGTGATTTTCCCTACGAACCTCCAGCTCTCGCTGTAGAGTCTGTAGAGCCGAGATTGAGTAACAAAGTACTCACTTCGATGAGGATTCCCAATCGCTTTCGTCGTCTGTGTCGTCTTCATCTCTCAACACAGCAAATGGCCATCGTTTAGTTGGCAGGAGAGGGGAGATAATGAAGGGCTAAGGGCTCCTCTAAGTGTATGGTCGAATGAGGACTTGTGAGGGGTGGTACTGTTTGAGGGGAGCTGTATGGGAGGCATAGGAGGGGATATACTACTGGTATAGGTATCCTTGGCCTGTAGGCAGAGAGGACCTGCATGTCCTACGTAGTTATAGACTCAGACAGGACGATAAAATGAATTAATAATAATAATAATCTCTCAACACACCCCCCTATCACCATTATCATGAAGCTAACCACGATCAGATCAGATGGTAGGGTCGGATCCCTACTCATCACCAACCCTTTATCATGGAAGAGATGCCATCCGATGAGTTTCCGGGGCGTACCCAGCACCCGACACGGGGATGGTGGATTGGATCAAGTCGGCCTCGACTGTTACATAGAAGGAATATATAGATGAATATGCGCAACTCATGTGGACCCGGTGTCTTGGCCTTGCCTGACTGGGGCTACAGGTTTTTTGTGACTTTTTCCCGCGCACACAGTTTCCATTGCTACCATTTTATTTTTTTGGGTAGAAGGTTCCGTGGAAAAGGTGGCTGAATTCCACGGGTAAATACTGAGCTGAATGGCTATCTATCATGTACAATATAACAATGATCTTTCAAGTGACAAAAGAGGCAAGGAGCACTGTACAAGGTTTGGCTTGGGTCAGAGAGGAGCCTAATGTGCTAGATAGTCTAAGACTCAAGTAGTACGATAAAACATCACATCACATTACAGGCTGAGGATACCTATACCAGTAGTATATCCCCTCCTATGCCTCCCGTGTAGCTCCCCTCAAACAGCACCACCCCTCACAAGTCCTCGCTCAATTAAACACTTAGAGGAGCTTTTTGCCCTCCCTCATCTCCCCTCCTCAGCCAACGAGTCGATGGCCGTTTGCGGATTAAAGGCTGCTGGGAAATTTCGCCAAAACCATTGGGTGCTGGGCTTTCTTATGACGAAGAGGCCGTCCAGCCCGGCGCAGTAGACCTGTGTATACCTAAGAGCGTCTCTTAACCTTCCTAGCTTCCTCCTTACTCCCCCCTTGATTCATGCCGCAGGACAAACCGAAGGTCGTGAAAGGATATCAGAAAAGTCTTGGTCGAGAGTGACTGCCGTGAAGGAGCCTAGCCTAGCATCCAAAAAACGTTACGGACGTGTGTTCCACGGGCAACTCATGTATTCCAGATGCCCTCCTGGCTAGTAGATTCGGAAGTTAAGATTAGCAGGGACGATATTGTAGACGAGTCGAAATCAGCTTTTCTTGAGGGCGGAAGGGTCTTTTACTTTGCTTTCGTGGGCTTTTTATTCGCCGGGCAGTGGGTAGCACATGTTGTGATATAACGAGGGCTTCTCTGACTACCGTTGTAGCGTTTGGTACCGCATTATCTTTCCTCATTCCCAGCATCGTTATCGTCGTCTTTCTCGTCTTATGTGTTATCGGAAGCGTATCTTTGATAGAGGGGGAGATAACTCAGCTCAAAATTGAAAAGTTGTTACTCAATCTCGGCTCTGCAGACTCTACAGTGAAAGCTGGAGGTTCGTAGGGGACACCACTGATAGGTGTCGAGAATAGTCCTCCCTATATACTTCAATGTGCATCCGCTCATAGTATTATTTTAAATTTTTACTCCTATTTGAGCTGATAGAGGACCTGGGAAGGAATGGATGAGGGCCAAGTATTCGGCAGCGTCAAGTAGATGCTCTGATATCTCGAAGCTGCAACAGTCATGTCAGACACTTGTCCGCAATTTTAAAGAACGCCGCACAGCAAATGTGACTAAATTTTGCATCCAGAACGTTAAGAGCTCAGTTTATTTACTTGTATCAATCAACGTCGTGCCCGCGCGCAGCACGTGAGCTCCTCGCATAGCGGTTAGCCCAATCTAAATATAATACCGCGAGGTAGGTTTAGAGCTCAGTTACTGGTGTTTTGTTTCCCAAAGGAGTGTGGGGCACGTGCTTGTGGGTACACAGCCCCACCCATAGGCGCAAAATGAAATTATCTTTACCAGCGTCCAAGCTATCCCTGCTATTAACGCATTCTTTCGCGTCAAGCAGTAGTACGATTTCGTATGCCAGTTAATCAGTCAAGTGCCGATCCCCTACTAAATGTCTGCTCGCATCCAGCTTGATGGTGACAAGAATACTTACACTAGTTTTGATTGCATCAGTGGGAAAATAATTGTCTTTCTGAGCAATGACGAGGATATATCAGCGATTGTGGTCAAACTGGAAGGAGAATCATTCTCGAAGCTATTACGCCCATCTAACGCTCATAATAGCAATAATGGGAGAAGAGATTCTATAGCGACAGAAGTCCACAAAGTACTCTATCAAGTCCACCAAGTCTTTCCTAGGCTGCATTCCGAATCTAGCCGATCTGCTTCCAAAATTTTGCAGGCGGGTAAGCACGAGTTTCCGTTTCAATTTCAATTTCCCAGCGACAATGAATGCGGTAATGAAACGCAAACGAGCTTGCTAAGTGGTTTCGCGGGGGTTAGTTTACTCAATCTACGACAGCAGCAACTTCAGCACGTCAAGCAAAAATTGCCTCCTACACTCACAGCGTTACCCGGAACTGCGGAAATCAGGTACTTCATCAAAGTTACCGTCCAACGAAGATCTCTGTTTAAGGAAAACTGGAGAAGTGAGCTTTCATTCAAATTCCTACCCACGGAGCCACCGCGGCCCCAACCGACATCTAACCAGTTCTATGTCCGAATGCCTTTTTCCTTCTTGTCCCAACCGTCACAGGGCTCTCGTGGATGGTGGAATATCTTTAAAAAACATAAGACCAAATTATCTGAACTAGCGCCTGAAGGCGAGATTGATGTCAGATTTCCTGGCTCAGCAATTTTAACGTGGAATAAACCACCTCCTTTTCATCTGATCGTTCGAAGAACAAACAGAAGCTCCGAGCAAATCTTCATGGTATCGTGCGCATTTCATCTACATGGAAAAACCTTGATCAGGGCAAAAGGTGTGATGCATATCGAAAAAATTTCGTGGGTGTTGCTGAATATTTGTGGATCGTGGGTGCCGATCGGGCTACCAGATGCTAGCGATGGGAATGATTATGAGATAAATAATTCTTTTTGGAGTGGCAGGCCATTACCCCAGTCTGTGTGTCCGTCTTTTGATACCTGCAATCTAGGACGTAGCTATGAGCTCCAAATACGGGTCAGCTTGAGCTACGGGAAGCCGGGCGACGTTCGGGAAAGTATCCTCTTAGCCTTCGCCTTTTCTATCCTAACATTGAGCAGAACCAAGTTATTACTATTCCATTCCAATTTCCGGTAGAGGTTTATTCAGGAATCTTAGTGGCCCCACAGCTTGATGTACAAGCAGAATCCATTCCGACAGCCTTGGAAGCACCTTATTTTCCGCATCTGCATGCTGATACAACTTGCCAAGATCCTCCGCCACCCACTTACGAAGAAGCTACAGCGGGTAGCAATGGTCCCTCAAGTGGCCGTCAAATGTAGAACAAAATCATTGTAATGCTAAACATCGTGCGCTCAGAACCCAATTTGGATCACCTTTAGTGACCGAAAGGTGACTATAGAAAAACAGAAAGACTATTCTGTGAATCTTCATCTGATGCAGCTCACCTTTATGCAAGCGAACATTAGGGCTTAGGCCAATGATTCGTTTGAGGCGTCGGTGTACTCGAGTTGATATTAGGGAATGAACCAAGAAATGAGGAGCAGTTGCGATGATGGATGGAAACATATTTCCAGGGGCTGATAAATCATTGATTGGCGTTGGATGTAAAACTTGTGAGTCATGGTTTAGGGATGTGTAATAAATAAATAATTCAATTTTCCTGATTTGGCGCCTTGAGGCCCATACAGGCTTTTATCAGAAGATTTGTAATTTAAGTAGGATGACTCAATTTGACATTTAGAACACTCACACTCAGATTTCATTTGCAGATACAACTCGAGGTCAATCCTTAAGGCGTATAACCTCTTCCGTGCATACCCACCATAGGGAAAAGCGTGAAAAACTTGTGGGCATCTGAATGTACTTTCATTATTCCACAAGTACAATATCACCGCGAGAGAGAGTGGTGTGTGGGTCTGACTGGATTCCAACCGGCTTTCTCCTTTCTCGAATGGGGTAGGTGTTCAAGCTATCCAGTATCTACTTTGGAGAACGTCCCGGATGGTGTACCACTGCACCATCAAACCCAAGGGATGTGTGCTTATATCTCAAATTTCGCGAACACGCATTCACACATATTAGTAGGCTAAAGAGGCTAGAAAGAGTCTCAAGGTGCGGTGACGATCAACTACTATTGTGGGAAGATAGATTAGCGGGCACACGCAGGTTGAGCGTTTACCAGGATGGTAGACTACTTGCCTGACTGACAGGCTATATGATAGTGGATCCAGTTCCGAGGTGAAACAAATGATTGGGCCCTAATTATTATGGGATTGCTTGCATATGCCATTAAGTAAGCATTATTCCATCCTGCTCAGGGGTACGAAAGCCCGATGCCTGTCAGCGGTGCCCTCACAAGTCTCTAAACCTCGTCTCACTGTCTACAGAGGCGAGGTTGAGTCGCAAATTTTCGTCTTTTTGCAGCGCTATATTAGCCTACCTTGTGTCCGCTTCCCGCATCACCTATCACGATTATGACACTGAGAAAGATATGTGATATCGCAGTACCAATCACTACAGTGATAGCTATAGAACCTTCGTCGCATCTAGGCTTATGCTACCCTTCAGCGGGCGAACAAAACCCAACGAAATCAAGATAAAAGAGCATTCCGCCCTCAAGAAAAGTAGAGTTCGTCTCATCAACAAACTGGTCTTTATCAATCCTGATTTACGAATCTACTGGTTAGGAGGGTATCCAAACCATCGAGTTCCTCGACAGCCCTATGTCTGTAACGAGCATTAGGTGCTGGAGTAGGCTTCTCCACAATAATTTCTCCCGACCAAAACCTTTCTGACATGCTTTCACGATCTTTTGCTTGTTCAGTGGTATTAATTAGAGGAGTAAGGGAGAGGCTAGGGAGGGAGAGACGCTTTTAGGCATCAACAGGTCTGCTATACCCGGCTAGCTGCCATCTTCGAACCCTCAGAAGGATCACTTTGTCTTCGGATTTAGTCTTGGTGTTGATATAAAGAGAACCCAGCACCCAGTGGTTTTCGAGAATTTTTCCTGCAGCTTAACTCCCACCAATGGTCATCGGTTGGTTGGCTAGAGAGGGGAGATGATGACGGGATAACGGCTCCTCTGAGTGTGTGCCCAAATGAAGACCTATGGTGTATAACCGCTGAAAAGACGTCGTGAAGTAGGCAAAGAAGGAAGTAAACTACCCGAGGTGTAGATACTCCTGTTAGATTAGATCAGATTAGATTTTATCATAGTCCGATCTGAGTCTATGACTATAGAGGAATTAAAAGATACTCCTGTCCTGTAGAGAGAAAGGACCTAAATTTCCTTATATAGTCATAGATTCAATAGAAAAATAAATATACGCACCTATTCTATCCTGGTAGCTTTGAATTTAAAGATTGAGATCACCAATTAGTATAGTCAGGCGCCTCGAAGGATATAGATTGATTAGTCGGATCCTAACCGCAACGATCTTCTCGTGTACTTTGATAAACAGGGGCTCAACTTGCCACAAATAACAACTTGGGTCTCTACACACAAGCACATGATAAATACATGAATGAAAGCAGACCTATATGGCAGCCTCATAAAGTTTCTAACCTTTAAGAAAAATTGGGGTAGGCTTGAGATGTTTGTATCGATAAAACTTCTATTTTACAAAAATTGGTCTGTCGACGGGGATAGCAGTTGTTATTTTCTAGGGAATAGATCAAGTAATAGAATTTCAATAACTTGCATAATTCCGAGCTACCACCGTTGCCTCTCCGAGTAGATGTATTTGAAATATGGTGTATCACAATGATACGAAGTAAATGAAAATTTGATAATGGGGCGTAGACTAGTACGAGCAGACTTTTCTAATGAAGAATGTGCAGCTGGCAGATTTTTAAATCAGTCGGCGGTTCAGTTCTAGAACTGCCTTTAACCAATATGTGCTACCTGTGGTGGCACCGTCACTGTCATTGCGTGCACTCACACGAATGTGTGAAAAAAAAAGTCAGAATCCAAGATGATATTGCGGGTAGATTTACATAGTAAAGGGCAGGGAAACCTTTATTATTGAATTTCCGTGACGTTGAGCAGATCAGCGCGTAGACGTGTCTGTCACGTTAGTACAATACTTAATATCCTTGTAGCGACTACCGTGTTGGGCTATTCATCAGTTAACCATTAGTCGTTGGCGTCGCACGTCGTACCATATTAACCCTCATAGGTCGACAAAAAGATTAACGCCCTGTACAGCCTGTGCTGCCATACACCTGTTCCGTCAACTATCTTGTGTACGGAAAGATGAGGCTTCGGATCTCCATACGTCGAAACGGCCTCCCCGAAACATTCATCGTCTGGGCGATTGATACCACCTCCGCACCTACAGTTTATCAGCTACTTGAAGAAGTCAATGAAATCATACCAATCGAGTCTGATGGCGAGTGGGGGCTAGAAGACTACTCGGTAGAGTTGAAAGGTGTTAATGGTACTAATTACGAATGCCTTCACTTTCAGCCGATAGCCGAGGTTATGAAAGAAGATGATGAGATCTTGTTTGTTCTCTCCCAGAATTTTCCCGCTATTTGCTAACTTGATTGGCAGAATTCGATGCCTTCTAACCAATGATATCAAAAAGCGTAGGGTATCAGGCCGGACTCAGATCACACCTCATGGAGTCCGTCTATTTGACGGCGTGCCCTGGGGAAGACCACTGCTAAGAGAAATCTCAAATCGACCTTCGATTAACATCCGGCCCAAAAAGGTAAGACAATCATTGTCTAACACCTGCGACCTAGATGACAATGACAACGAAGGCTCAAGGTCTTCTGATACTTCACCTACTGCTGACTCAGTAAGCGGCAGAAATCTCCTTGCTATAGCCCCAGAACTTGATGAAAGTTCAGAAGACGATACAGATTATGCTCCCGAAAATTCCGAAGAGGAAAGTAGCGAAGATGAAGACACCGAAGAGGGTGACGAGAGACAAAATTTTATAGAAAAGAATGACGAAAAAGATGATAGTGCAGACGAAAATGAGAGTATACCCGAACCGGAGAGAGGTGGAGAAATATTTACCAACAATACTCTAAGTAAGAAGCCTTCAGATGTCGGCCCTATTAAAGTGTTGAATAATGAGATAGATATGTGTGATCCTGCCAGCTCAAAAAGCAATTCACATGTTAAATTCCGTGAGCTACATTCAGCCTTTCCAACATCGACACTAGATGTGTGTAAGCATGTACTCAATGGAACACATGGGGATATAAGTGAGGCCTGGGAGGCCATGTCACTCGGTTTTCCTGCAAAAAAATCCCGAAATGCACTAATAAATTTATGCCAAGAGAGTCTCCCCAAACTATCGCAAGAACCTGGATCTTCAGAACAATTACCATTGCTTGTTAAGTCCGACAGTCGCGATATTTTAGGAATTGAGTCACAAGATGTCACCAAACAAACTGAACCAACAGAATCATTAATCGAACACTACGACAAAAACGGTCTACCTTTAGGATTTATCTCAAATGGAAAGGCCTTGTCATTCATGGCAGACGTCACTCGAGATTCATCCAAACATCCAGACTCTCTACATAAATCATCTAAATCTACTAATCACACACATTTTAATTCTGAATGCTCAATGCCTCATATTTATAGTACTGTTGCTGAACCACCACAGAATTTACAAGGAGAGGAACAAATAAATAATGATACCAGCAAATACGATGAAAGCTCTTCTTCTATGGAAACAAAATTAAAAAGTGGTACCGATAGTTTGACGACAATTAGCCCACAAAATCCCCATTATAAAAAAATGGATATCAAAATCCCATCTACAGAAGACACCAATGGTAGTAGTAATAAATGTAGAGATTATGATACAAGTGATAGCCAAGATAGCAGTGACAGCGACGATAGCAATGACAGCGACAATAGCAGTGACAGCGACGATAGCAGTGACAGCGACGATAACACTAGTGATGATAGCAGTGATAGTTTCTCTAGTGAAGTCGAAATACCTAAGAAATCTTCTAGCGGAGAAGTTGGCAGCTTCGTCTCATCTGCAATTAAACGAGGAAATGTTACTGTCAACCGACCCAAAGTAGCCCCAGGAGCAGGAAAAAAATCAACCCAGCGCAGAAACGAACGGAGAAGAATCTCAAATGCCATGAAAAGACTTCAGGAAAAGGGCCTCCTACCAGCAGGAATATCCAAAGAAGAATTCTCAAAAACTAATGGAAAGTCAAATCCTAAAAAGGTTGAGCCTGAAGCCAGGGCAGAGGTATGCACAGATGAAAAAGTTTCAGCTCAGCCCAACTGTAGCGAAGAATTTTCGCGCCGAAGAAAGGCATTGTTAGACTCTTTAGCCTCAGGGGGTGTAGAAATAGATCAAAATACGTCGAATGATCAATTCGCTTCTAGACTTGGTGCAGAAATAAATGTAGATAATGTGTGTTTATCTTCGAATATGGAGCCTACCTTTACTATGACAGAGTCCGGGGGAAATACTTGTCCCCAACCTGATATTTCCTGTCATTTAAATAGATTGGAGACTAACGCTCCAAGAACTGGTGTTGCCGCAAGAGCTCACGAAGTATCCGGTGAAACTATTCCTAAAGAGAATATTTCCAAACGAAGATCAAAGCTAGATTTAGATGCAGGGAGAAGGATGCTCTTTGGAGCTATGGGCCTCAAAGCTCCCAAGACAAGTGAAGATGAAGAGAAGTTGAGAAATCTAATCTCCAAAAATATTAAGCCTCAAGAAAAAAAACCGGTAGATCCATTAAACAATGATAAGAAAGTAATCGAAATCAATTCAGAGGATTGGAGAGACAAAATTATCTATCGAGCGGTTGAGTGTGTCCAGGAGGGAGTAATCTTGAGCGAGCCACCATTTCCATTCTACCAAAGATGGGACCCACAGCAAAGAGTAGGCAAGCGAAAAAAGAGTCAATGTAGCCTTGCTCAACTTGAAAAGGATGATAGCCTTGTTCCTAACAAAAAACAGCGTAAGACCGAGTCTGATCCCACAACAGAGTTTGATATTGCCGGAGTAGATGCGAATTCTATCCATCAAACGGACTTGGTGCTGAGTACTAGTCTTAGTGATACTGTTCAGATGGATGGAGACATACAAGCTGAAGGTGACTCCTTCAATCAAGAGAGAGCTGGTGATAAGATTGCCTGTGAAAGTCTAGAAGATTTGCCAAGACTCCCAGATGATATGTCTACTCTCCAGGAATTCAAAGAGAGTGACGCAAAACCAGGTGTCGTAATTGCATTCAAACAACTTGAGGTTTCTGCCACAAGTAGGTGGCAGCCTCAGATTTCTGCATTCAAAACAGCCATCATAACTAGCGTAAAAAGTGGAATAATTCAGGTAACTTTGGCGCGTAGAGATATTGATATTGCGGAAAAATATTATGATGAAAATGGGGAGAGAATTTATTCCGGATTTGATGCCATTGAAGATGAAGAAATGGAAGATGATGGTAATCGTGAGCTCTGTTACATAGAACTAATAGAGCCGAAAGTTGTGCGACACCTTGAGGAAGATGCCCAACCAATATAGCTTAAATTAATAATTTAAATCCAAGTAATGTTTAATCAAGGCTGCCTTTATCAAGTGTAAGCACATAATTTTGCAGATTTGCTTGTTGAATAAGAGGAAAGGCTGTGTAATTTAAATCACAAGCCAGAAAATACAGTTCCGAGCTTTATCTTATCGCGAGGTAAGTTGAACGGCAAAAGTATTCAAGCTATGATACAATTGCCTAGCATTCTTAATTGAGCAAGACCAATCTTGCAATGGAGGAATAGAGATAAGTATAGATGTGCGTAATATCAAAGTATGTCTAGATAGATATTGGGATAATTTTTGTGTGGAATCTACGGGAGTGTGTACCTATTCTGGAATAGGACTCATCGCTGCCATATGATAGGGAGAGATTATCCTCATTTAGATTTATGTTTCCGGTCAAATTCAGTGTAAGTGTGGGAGACATCTCCAGATACTACTTGGAAACCATGGTTATCGATAATAAATTAATATTTATTAAATTCGGAATTCATGATTGAGGTCAATGAGGGAAAAATTACTCTAGGGATGGTGGGTGAGGGATACTAACTTTAAGAGATGGGTAAAATGATAATGAAGGGCTTTGTCGGAGGGCAAGGCTAAAAACCTGTTCGCCGTGTCCTATACGAACCTGGGAGTGAAATATTCTCACAGAGCCAAGCTCAGTCAAATTTCGCAATACCAAAGAAGTTGGCCCACGAGGCAATGATTCAAAATACTCCACCACATCAATTTTTCACTCCCATCGAGATCGACTTCTTAAATCTCATCAAGTCTTGAAGTACAACCTAGTACATTCTCATTTCAATGACCACACCCACACCAACTTTCTCTAGCCTCAGCTGGTCATTAAATATACGCCCACGCCTATATTTATACCCGCAGGAGGAAGCAAAGCGTGGCGCACAAATCTGGGAGACAGTTCTTTGGGATGGACATGAGAGGGCTCAGGACAAGTTGATAAGATGATGCAAAGGATGGATACATTCTCGACAGGTGTGGATATCTGAATGTTGGCAAGGAGTCATACAAATTGAAGAAAAATCTGTGCGCCAAGACTTGGCTTGCAAGAGTGCAGCTGATATTATAACCATAAGTCAACGATTGGGAGGGCAAGACTGAACACCTGTCAGTGGTGCTCTCTACGAACCTGGGAGTGAAATATTCTCCCAGAGCCAAGTTCAGTCAAATTTCGCAATATCAAAGAAGTTGGCCCACGAGGCAAAAATTCAAATTACTCCACCACGTCAATCTTTCACTCCCAAAGAGTCCGATTCTCAACTAAGCTTCATCAAGTCTACAAGTACGACCTAGTACATCCTCATTCCAATGATCACACCTCTCGTCGACTTTCTCTGGCCTCAGCCGGTCGCCAGAAACACGCCCACGCCGATATTTACACCCGACGGAGGAAGCAAAGCGTGGAGCACAATTTTGGGAGATAGCTCTTTGGGACGGACGTGAGAGGGATCAGGACAAGTTTACAAGATGATGCAGAAGAGGGATACAGTCTCGACGGGCGTGAAATTTCGAATTTTGGAAAGAGTTTTACGAATTGAGCTTTATGCGCGCCAAGACTTCGCTTGCGAGAGTGCAGCTGACAATATAAACACAAGCAAACGATGGAAGGTGTTGTGGTCCGCCTCCTGGTGGTGTTCTCTGGTATGATTTGAGTAGCCTGGGCACCTACTCCACTTGGGAAGGAGACATCTCAGATTACATTTCGCGCGGAGAAAAGTTGATGGATGAGGGAGGCATGTCTGGATAACTCAGGGTTTTTGAGACGTTCCCCTGGGTGGGTATTCACGGATGAGGGTTGACTTGGGGTGAAGAAAAAGCCACCATAACTTCGCAGTGGTACTTGCAAATGAAATCTGAGGCATGAGTGCTCCTATTATAAACTGAGTCATCTTTTCTGTACTTTTCTCTGATATTGTGTCATAGCTAGATAGCTGCATACGCAATTAAAATCTGATGCAAAAAAAAAAAGTCAACGATAGAAGGTGCCGTGGTCCGCCTCCTGACGGCGTTCTCTGTTATAGTCTGAGTAGCCTGGGCACCTTCTCTACCTGAGAAGGAGACGCCTCAAACAACATTTCGCATGGAGAAAAGTTGATGGATGAGGGAGGCATGTCTGTATGACCCAGGGTTCTTGAGACGTCCCCCTAAGTGAGCATTCACGGATGAGGGCTGACTTGAGGTGAAGAAAAAGCCACCATAACTTCGCAGTGGTACATGCAAATGAAATCCGAGGCATGAGTGCTCTTCTTGTAAATTGAGTCATTTTATCTGTACTCTTCTCTCATATTGTGTCATGGCTAGATAGCTGCATACGCAATTAAAATCTGATGCCCCAAAAAAAAGAAGTTGGGTTTATACCTTAGGCATAAAAGTGGATACAGACAGTGTTGATGCTTCGGCGGCGTCCACGTACTTCTTAATCAGCCACCACTTCTGCAGTAGCAAAGCCATTCTCATTGCCTCTGATATCACAGAGATTGACCCCGTCATACCAACTGTCATACTTTCAGTGCCTCTCATGATTAGGACTATGCGGAAGAGTCTACGCCTCTTGAAAATTAAAGTAGTGGCCTTTGGATGGAACTAAATGCTGCATCGGAGTTTTCTACAGCTTGCAGTGAATAGGCCGGTGTCCATATTGTGCACGATTTCTCCATTTTGACTCAAGGGTCACTGTGAGGGTCGTAAGATGTTATTCACGAGCTATCTCGATCTAGGTACAAATGAGAATCTTAAGCCGGAGAGGAAATTAACTGGTGGAACCCACTATATGAATAATCTGGCTTTATGCCGAGGTTCCGAGTTGTCAGAGTAAAGTGAGTGATATGAAGAAGAGGATGTGTGGGATATCTCTTGCCCAGGTGGCTAGTTGCCCGGCTTCTTTGCAATCCGCTCGAACTAGCTCTATCACCACTTAACCATCCGACCATTGTGATGCAGGATGTTTGGGTCTCCCATTATGCTTCAGCCCTATCTCATCTTAATCCCCCAATATTCAGATGCCTTATGCTTTTACCTGAGTTTTGCTAGGCTCTAGCCTATGACAGTCACTCTCTATCGGTCTTTGTAGCCGCGTCACAGGACTTGTGTGCAGGAGATTGCTATTGTTTTTTCTCAGTCTAAGAACATATTGAACATGCAGATTGTCTCAAACTATGGGCCGAGGATGGCTATGCCAGTAGTAAATCCCATCCTCTGCCTTCTACACAGCTCCCCTCTGACATTGCTACTCCTCATAAGTCCTCATGAGCCATCATATTTAGAGGGCCCTTTTACCCTTCACTACCTGCAACGCGATGGTGGCCACACGCGGGGGTTAGCTGCAGGGAAATTCCTCAAAAGTAACTGGTTGCAGGACTCCCCTGCTAAAGAGATCAAGACTAGATCCGAAGACGTAGGTACCATTTGAAGCTTTTGGAGATGGCAGCTAGCCGAGTGTAGCAGACCTGTTGATGCTTAAAAGCGTCTCTCCCTCCCTAGCCTCTCCCTTAATCCTCTAATTTGTACCACCGAACAAACCGAAGATCGTGAAGGCATGTCAGAAATCTCTTGGTCGGGAGAAATTATCGTGGAGTAGCCTACTCCAGCACCTAATGCTCGTTACAGACATAGGGCTGTCGAGGAACTCGATGGTTTGGATACCCTCCTAACCAGTAGATTCGTAAATCAGGATTGATAAAGACCAGTTTGTTGATGAGACGAACTCTACTTTTCCTGAGGGCGGAAAGATCTTTTACTTTGATTTCGTGGGCTATTATTGGCCCGCCAGTGCATAGCATATTTTTAAAATTGTGCATCATGTGTAAGTGTGCTAGCATGTTGGCGTTCTTTCATTATTCTGCTTAGTCTTAGTGTGAAATAGCATCAGTACCTCCGCGTAATCCACAGCACAAAATACATTACTCTTCCTCTAGGTCTATTTCTCTGAAGTAAGTCTATTAGGATGTGATGAAGGCTTCTCTAACTACCATTGTTGTGTTTGGTAACGTGACGTCTCTCCTCTTTCCTAGAGTCATTATCGCCGCAGGTGTTATCGGAGGCGTTTCTGTGAGGGAGAAGATAATTCATGTCCAAGTTGAAAAGTTCTTATTCAATCTCAATTCTGCAGTCTCAAAATTAAAAGCTGGAGGATCGTGAGGAATAGCGCTGTCTGATGTTGAGTTTGTCATAAATGCGCTTTTCACATGAGTAGTAAATCATCATGTATGTAGTGAGGCATGCAGAGCTAGGAAGCTATTAAAATTTCAAGATCACAGCAGGGAGACAGAGTCAAGATTTTTCCAGGCTAGGCTTGGGGTCGGAAATACCCGAGTGTATCTGCACAAAATAGGAAAAGTTGAAGATGATATATGCAATTTTTGTTCAAAACAAAGGCAGACTGTGCAACATTTGTTGTTACATTGTCCGAAATTTAAATACCAAAGAAACAGATGTTTTAAGGGCATAGAGCCGAGAACTCTACCTGTATTATTCCGAACAAGAAGAGGAAAAGAAGCACTTCTTAAATATTTGGACACATCCAAGTGTATGGTGGCACATAAAGGGAGTTGGACTAGGATAGCTAAATTGGAAATTAAAAAAAACAACTATGAAGATTGTATTTCACAAAGGAGTTGTGGGGACTTAAATTATATAAATAATGTGTCATAGCTAGATAGCTGAATACACTATGGATAAAAAAAAATGCGGAGTTAGGGAAATGAAAACAGGTTATTGATAAATAAGATACCACCGATCGCTAAACTCACCCATAGATCACTCCTAAAAGAGACTAGCTACGGCGCTATCTGGAAGTATGTGGGATTGGGGGGGGTTTTTTTTATCCATTTAATGTGTATTCAGCTATAAAGCTATGACACATGACCGTTGCTATGTATACATGTAGGATGACTCTTTTGACGTTAGAGACACTCATACTCTGGATTTCATTCGCAAATACCACTATGAGGTATGTTCGCTTACACAAACAGTCG